CTGTATAGTTATTGTGATTCTTATATAATCAGAAACTTTTATGCAAATTCTTTTATAAACCTTTCTCAATAGCAGAGAATCACCGAACATGCAAAACACTTCTAATTTTTATGCCTCTCACCAACAAACTCAACATTCTATACAGCTGAAACTGAGAGAGAACAATTTTTTGAGCAGAACTCGTACATGGAATTTTTGAGTTCCTAACGGGTGATTTTTTAAGAGGTATAGCATTTGATTTCCAAAACAATACAAATAATTTGAAGAAATTGATGAAATCTTTATTGGAATCGATAGAACGATCAATATAATTCAATGTTTGAAGATGATTTCATGCAAATGTTGTCCGCAACTCCGCTTTAGTTGGCCCATGCGCAAGGTCCAATTTTGGCACACTCTCTCTAACCGACCGGTATTTCACGTATAAATGATTCAATATTGGCTTCCAGAGCGCCAGTCGTCGCTGGTTTATCCCTGTAGCCATGAGCCTTAACATGACTCCACAAGAAATACTCCAAAGGCGTTGAATCACAAGATCTAGGCGGCCAATTAACTTACCCCAATCGTGAGATAAACTGTTCACCGAAGGCGGCTCTTAATTGTGGCATTGTCTTGTTGAAACCACGTCAGGCATGTCCAATTCTTCCGTTTTGGGCAATGAAAAGTCGTCAATCGTCACACGGTAGCGCTCGCCCTTCACAGTAACGCTCCGACCTTGTCGTCTTTACAAAAGTACGGCCAGATGATGCCACGGACTCATAATCCACACCAAACAGTGGTGGTCTTCACTCCAGATGCGGTAATTTTGCTTGTTAACGTAACCATTCAACCAGAAATGAGTCTCGTCGCTGAACACAATTTTTCGATAAAAATGTGGATCTTTCTTCACCTCTGCCAGCGCCCCTTCACCAAATGTTAGACGTTGTGGGAGGTTGTGTGGCTTCAATTCTTGCACCAGCTATATCTTTCAAGGTTTTACACCCAATTCTTTCCCCAAAATTTTCCACGTAGTGGAGTAACAGAGGCCCAATTGTTGCGTACGGCGGAGAATCGACATTTCACGGCCATCACGAACACTGGCGGATACAGGCGCAATATTTTCTTCGGTCCTCACTCTACGTATGCATGTTGGTGGTTTAATGTCCAGTAATGTTAACTGGGTTCGAAATTTAGTCAAAAGCTTCCGAATAGCTTCCTCTGTAGGCAGACGAAACTGCCATTAAATTGGAAGAAGTGCACGATGGACTTTCTTCACCGAGCATGAATTTAATAATTTGCAAGCGTTGTTCATTTGTAAGTCGATTTATGGATAAATTATAGACCAAACTGAACGAGTTTGACAATGACACAAGACACGATTCACGCGTAATCTGTCAAAAACAGTGTTGCCAAAAAAATGCCAGCAAAAAATCACGTATTATACAGCGTGACTCACGGTCGATGGTAGGTTAGAAGTTTCTGGAAAACACAAAGCATGATTTTTCTGAAAATTTCAGCATTGCGGCGTTGCCACTTCTTTCAAAAAGTCCTAGCAATTATATTTTGTTAAATGGAACACCACGTATATTAATACATTTTTGGAATCGCTTTAGTATTCTAATACTTTTTTGTTGATAATGTCCTATACCTATCTCTATCTGTTCGAGATAAAAAATAAATTGTGTTAAATATGGTCCAAAACATAGCCTTAATTGAAATTAAGTACATCAGTACTCTCAATTCATGAAAAGTTGATATTCTGATGATAGTTTGGACAAACTCGAAATATTCAAATAACACCAAGAAATCGACTCCATATCATACAGGGCGTGCTAAAATTACTATTATTTCCATTGTGCATAAAAGTAGTCGAAAGTTCATTTTTCAAATCAAACATTCTGTATATTACTCGATAAATTCAAAGATGGTGAAAAATGCTTCAAGATGATATACATGTCCACATACCTAAATCGTCAAGTTTTCCTAATAAAGTCGTTTTTGTGGAAAAATAGTTATTCACGTGTTATCTACAAGTGTTGAAAGTGGCATTTTATTTTGTGAGTGGGGATTATTGCAAAACGAGCGTCAGCAAGTGGAGCAAACTCACGAGCAAAATAAAATCACTTTTA